CCCCCCCCCCGCGGCCATATTTTCTACAGCAGGGGGGAGGGCAAGGTGCCGGACGTCGGCTCGCTCGTCGAGGCTGGCGGCGGGGCCACCTTCCGCGTCTCGTCAGTCCAGTCTTTTGGAGGGTGCGTGCTGCACGCTGGCAGCCCCTCGAGTCCCTCCAGCCTTCTAGGGGCCCTCCGCGAACCTTCCTGCAGGTACGTGCTGCACGTCGGCAGCCTTGAGAGCGGCTCCCTCTCTGCGGGCGATTCGGTGGCGTGCAACGTGGACGGCGAGCGGCGGCGGCGCATCTCCAAGTCGCACACGCTCACGCACGCGATCAACCTCGCGCTGCACCAGGCGGCCACACGAACCTTCCGTCGCCCCTCCATGGCCTTCCACAGCCTTCCACGGCCCTCCACGGCCTTCCACGGCCTTCCACGGCCCTCCACGGCCTTCCACAGCTGAGCCCATTCGACCTCCTTCCACCCCCCCCCCCCTCCTTTCCTCTGCGCCAGGTGCTCGGCGAGGGCGTCTCTCAGAAGGGGTCGCTCGTCGACGACTCGAAGGCGCGCTTCGACTTCTCGCACGGAAAGGCGATGAGCGCGGCCGAGTGCGAGCGCGTCGAGGCGCTCGGCCAGCAGGTGGTCGCCGGGATCACCCGAGGCTACACGAGGTTACCCGAGAGAGCCCGAGACCAGGCGCTCGTCCGGACGATGGTCGCCGAGGCTCTCCCGGTGCACATCCAGACGGTGCCGCTCGACAAGGCGCTCGACACTTCCGAGACACTGCCGAGACACTTCCGAGACACTTCCGAGACGCTTCCGAGACACGTCCTGACGGTGCCGTTCGGAGAGGCGTTTGACAGCGCCACCTCTCCCGCCTGCCGCAACCCCGCCGTACTCTCCATCCCCCGGCAGCGCCGACCCCGCGCGCGCGCCGCAGGCGCTCGCCATCAACAACTTGCGCGCGGTCTTCGGCGAGCGGTACCCCGACCCGGTGCGCGTCGTGTCGATCGGCCCAGAGGCGCGTTCCCTCGCCGCGCGCAGACGTTCGGCACCCCCCCCCCCCTTCCTCCCTCCTCTCTCCCCCTCTCCCTCTCCTTTCACACCCAAACCCCCACACACACACTTGTTCTCTCTCCCTCCCTGTCCCCCCCCCCCCTCCTCCTCCCCCTCCCTTCTTCTCATCTCCGCCGTCTCGACAGGTGCCCGCGCTGCTGGCCGCGCCCGAGAGCGACGAGTGGGAGCAGTACTCGATCGAGCTGTGCGGAGGGACTCACATCCCGTCCACGAGCGACTTCGGCAGCTTCGCCCTCGTTGAGGAGTGTGCCGTCGCCAAGGGGGTTCGCCGCGTGGTTGGCGTGGCGGGCGAGCTGGCGGCGGAGGCGGAGGCGGCCGGCGCGGCGCTGCAGTCACGGCTCGCCGAGCTGACGGCGTCCGCCGCAGGCGAGGCTGCGGCGGGCGAGGTGGAGGCGACGCGCAAGGGGCTGACGGCAGCCAAGCTCGCTCGAGGCCTTTTCTCGTGGGGGCGTGACACGGTCGCCAACACTCGCCCGGCTCGGCTGCGGTAGGCGCTGAAGCTCGAGGTTGACGCGGCGACGACGTCGGTGCACGTCAAGGTGGCGCTGCGTGACTCGATCGCAGCGGCGGGGGCCGAGAGAGCCGTCTCCAGCGCGCCGAGAGGAGCCCTCTGTGAGCCCTCGCCGGAGCTCTCCTTGCAGGCGGACCGCGAGTGGCTCAAGCGCGCCAAGCAGCTCTCCGCCGGCGAGGCGGACCGCGCGGCGGCGGCGGCGGTGGCGGAGGCGAGGGCGGCGGCCGACGCGGGCGACAAGTTCGTGGTCGTGCAGGTGGACGACGTGGACGGCAAGGCGCTGCAGACGCTCGCGCAGAAGGTGGTCAAGGAGTCGGGGCTCGCCGTCTTCGCCCTCTCGGTCGTCGACGGCGACAAGATCGCCTGCCTCGCCTCGGTGCCGAAGGGAGACGCCGACGCGCTGCCCGCCAACAGCTGGCTGCAGACCGTGCTCGCCGAGGTGAACGGCCGCGGAGGTGGCCGGCCCGCGCAGGCGCAGGGCAGCGGCACCGACGTGGCCGGCTTGCCAAAGGCTCTCGAGGTTGCGCGCGCGATGGCCACCGAGGCGCTCGGCGGGCGATGAGGGCGTGCTGAGCGCCGTGCGGCCACCGGCACAGCATTAGGGTTGAGAGCCTCTCTGTTCCCTCCGCCCTCGCGCGCGCAACGGCAGCGACATGAGCCAGAGCGTACGCGATAAGGCCTTTGTATTTTCCCTGGCCTTCCCCCACCTAGACGAGATTTTCGGCAGCTCTGTATCACATACAAAAAAGTGGGTCTATCGTAGGGGAGGTCCGGCCTATTTCTTCACACACTCTGTGCCAAACAACAAAAACTGCGCGTAAAAACAACACACGCGCAAAAGCAAGAGACTCTGGCAGTCAGTGTGTGTATAGATAAAGCCGTAGAGCGAGCCGGCGGCCAGGGCACACTTCTCTACGTCAGCACTGAGGTCCAAAATAAGTCCGCGGGTGCGATCCCGAACACGTACGTTACCGCCGAGTGGCACGTCCCCTGCGGCGGGCCCGCGCGCTGGAGGAGGCTCAGAAGCTCCGCGAGGTCCGGCTCCTCAGTCGGGATGGCGGCGATGGCCTTGAGAGTGACAGCGACCTCGCTCGCCAGGTCGACGTCGCTCGTCACCCAGGCGCCTTGCCTACCCCACTCGAGTAGAGTTGGAAGCGTCTCCTCACGAAGGCGGCTCGCCCAGTGTTGGACCTGCGCAGGGTCCTCCGGCGGCTGCGTGAAGAAGCGCGTCTCAAAAAGGAGCCGGTGGGTGAAGAAAAGGCCGCACTGGTAAAAGTCGGTCCTGCTCGGAATAAACTGGGCAATGGCGCCGAGGGCAGGGACGCTCAGGTCGGTGGTGGCGGGGATCGGAATGGCGAGCAAGGCGGCAGCGACGGCGGCGGCGAAGAACAATCCGTCGACAACCCCGTTGGGAGAAGGGATGGGAGAGCCGCACCGCTCCTGGTCAAAGTAGGCCTCGGTGGCAATGCGCTGCATGTCCACCGCCGCTGCGAGAGAAGCGCCATGGCCCACGCCATAGTACTGCGCAATCTCGGCCAGCTCCTGCGAGTTGATGTAGATCAGGTTGGCCAGCATTGGCCCCACGCCATCCAAAGGCCAAGGGAGCTGCGAAGCGAGGCACCGGATAGAAGCTAGGCTCGGCTTCTCGAGGCGCTTCGTGGGGTCGATGCCGTGCGCGAGGGCGTACCAGTAGTCCAGCTGGAACATGCCGTTCATCGAGGCTAGGGACCCGTTGGGGCACACGCCAAGTGCCTCCCAAGAATGGAGCGTCTGCCCAAAAGCTGTCGTGACCTGTGCAATCTTGCTCTGCAGATGCAGCGTGCGATTCAGATCCGCAAAGACACTGGGCAAGGCCTGCCGAAGCATGTAGTAGCCGTCGAGCAGCTCCATCCCTCCGCCAAGGTCCTTGGAACCCTGCGCTGCACAGGTCTTCTCCATGTTACGTATGGCCGCTTTGACCAACGCTTTGGGCGCAGCCTCGTCTCCCAATGCCTCGAGATTGCTTCTCGGCATTCGAGCACCGCAACTCAATGCCCCTAGCATGATAACAGCGGCCAGGCAAAGCGTTATTGGATAGATTGGCAGCCGCTTTCGCCAGGAACAGCGCCGCGCGGTCTCCATCTTGCTATCTTGAGGAATGCGATGTTTCGCGCGTGCGTGCTGGGCCGGCGACCGGCGTGAATGAAGGAGACACAGAAGCAGAAGGCGCCCAGCAGGTGAAGGTATAGGAAGACGCGACACGAGAGAAGATTTTTTTCCAACATCCGGACGTGCTCCACCGCACGCCTCTTCCGACTGGGTTTTAGGTATGTTGTTGGCAAATAAATCAGGACACAGAGCTCACGCAAATTCACAGTGGGAGGCAATTCCGACTGGGTGATGGAAGGGTCGACGCACCCCCGGACTGGGGAGAGAGACCCCCTGAGCACGACGTGCCGCTACAACAAGTATCCACCCAACCAGCCCCCCCCTCACTCCCCTTCCTCTACTGTAACTAACTACCTACCGTAGTGGAAGAGGCGGGCCTGGCGGCGGAGGCGCTGCTGCTGGGTGAGAAGGTCGCCCCGTGACGCTAACGGCCTATGTTGTACTGGCATGCACCCAAAAGTGAATAAACAAAGTGGGCGCCACGGCCTCCTTGGGCGCCCCGCCTGGCAATTTCTGAGCAACAAGGAATCAAACGGGGCGGCGCCTTAGCCGCTTATGTCGGAGGACGTTTTGCACGAAACCGACGCAACAACTACCTTATCCGAATCGGCCTCACCGCGCCCCTCCTGAGCTCCCCTGATGTCTGACAGCTACGTGCAGAAGCCCGCGGGCGACAACAACATGCGCTCCTCCGGTACCGGCAACGCAGTGCAGAACCTCCTCGTCGCCCTCTCCGTCGCCGGCCTCTGGCTCCTCGTCACCGCCGCCGAGCCGCAAGGGGGGTGCGCGCGTCACTCCCTTGAGCGCTCGAGGCCACTCCCGTCACCGTCACATTTCACGTCACACATTACACATCGTCAGATCCTACATCGCACACCGGCGCCTCGCGGTCGCCGCCGCCACTGCTGCAGTTCACCCCCTCCGCCCTCTCGCACGCAGGTACACCGCCTCCGACTACAGCTACCCGGCAGACTACTGGAACAAGTACCGCAAGTACGCACTCTCCGTCGGAGCCGTCGGCCTCGGCCTCGGCCTTATCGCGCTCCTCATGACCCGCTTCAAGCCCGATATGACAAACCAGAAGATGCTCTCTATCATGTCTACCGACGTGTCCATCCTCGGTGCCTTCTCGATCTTCTTCGTCCTCTGGTGGGGCGTTGGCGCGGGCGTCTGCACCTTCAAGGAGCCCTTCTTCGCGCCTGTCGTCACGCCCGGCAACGGCTACTTCTCGGTCTGGGTCGGTTTCCTCGCGTCGCTCCTCCTCCTTTCCGAGACAATGAGCATCGGCGACGCAAAGTCGCTGAAGGGCCGCGCCGCCGGCCTCTTCTTCGCCGCGGTGATGCTGCTCATCGCCACCATCAAGCACGTCGATCCTAACGACGGTGTGGCGGGCCCCGATCCGAACACGCCACCTACAGCCACCGACGACATCTCCATCTTCGGCATGGCTTCCGCCGCGGCCACCATCCTCATCACCATCCTGATCATCTTTGCCGACATGAAGGAGTCGGCCATCCAGACACTAATCCCGATCCTGGTGCTGCTCTGGGCGGCCACCGCCGGCGTCCTCACCTTCCGCAGCGGCTCGCCGTTCATCGGGATGAACAACGGATATTTCTCGTCCTGGTTCGGCTTCTTCATGGCCGCGCAGATGACTGGCAGCGCCTCTGGCCCGCTCAACTCCAACGTCTTCCAGATCCTCGCGCTCGGCGTGGTGGTGGTGCTCTCGGCCTACTTCTACCAGGGCGCGGTCACGACTCCCGTGGATGCGGGTGTCGTTGACATGGTCTACCAGGACAACATCGTCCCCGACGACCAGGCGTACATGATTGCGGTCGGCGCCCTAATGCTGCGGCGCCGCCGCCGTGGGCAAAGCCACCGAGTGGATGGCGTCGTATTCGCCCGTCAGCGGCTTGCCGCACACGCAGCAGTTGTGCTCTGGGTGGTGGTACCGCTCGCCACCCGCCCACTCGGACCCGAGCCGGAAGCCTCCCCCTTGGCAGTACTCGGAGTAGTCTTGGCAGCCCTGCCCTTCGCCATTGTCCCAATCCTTGGTGTCGATGCACTCAACCGCCGCCACCATCCGCGCCTGCGAGCACACGGCGCTGAACGTGAAAGGAGCGGTTGCACCTCGCAGAGACGGGTAGGCGGTCAGAGCAGACTGGAGGAGGCCAGGCGAGGCGGAGCCTTCCACTCGAGTTGTGCGGCCCGCAGGTCTTCCGCCTGGGCGCCGCCGGCGAGGAATATCTGGGTGAGCTCATCCGGCGTGTACCGCTTGAAGGGCTCGTCGTCTGGCATTCTGGCTCGAGAGGAGAAAGGGCTGGCGCACGATCGATCGTGATGGCCGGCGATACTGGAGCGCCCGCCGATCGCCGGTCCTGTTAGAAAAAAGGAAACGCCGCCCCGCACGGCATAGAGCTTAGAGGCGGACGCCAAAGGGTGGGCGACGGCTAGCGCATCACACCCCTCTCCTTAAAATCCCTGTGTGGTGGCGGCGTGCCGTCCTCCCATCCCTCCCTTGGTTTTAGGTATATTGTTGGCAGACAAGACTCAGAGCTCACACAGAATCACGGATGTCCGTTTTCTTTCTTTCTTGCTCACACGGTTTTTCTTTTCCTCGAGCCGGTGAGTGTGCCAGTCCGCGCCAGTCCGCGCCCTTGTCGTGCCAGTGTGCTGTGAGCGTGGAGCTCAGAATTCTTTTCCTCGTGGTGAGCCTGTGTGTGTGCCAGTCCGCGCCAGTCTGCGCCCTTGTCGTGCCAGTGTGCTGTGAGAGAGGCTTGTGTCTTAAGAATTCTTTTCCTCGTGCCAGTCTGCTCTGGAGGGTCTTTCCTCGCGATGTCCACCCCGCCGCGCCGCAGCTCGCGCCGCCTCGCCCGCGCCTCCGCCGCCTCCGCCGCCTCCGCCGCCGCTCCCTCGCCAGACACGCCGCCGCCCATCCGCCTCCTCGACCTCCCCACGGAGCTCCTCCTGCGCGCCCTCTCTCGCTGCGGCCCCGCCGACATCGCTCGCCTCGCGGCCGTCTCGGTCCTCTTCCACGCCTCGCTTGCGCTGGAGGGCATCCGCTTGTGGGCGCAAGAGCGCGGCTTCGAGTTGCCGGCGCAGCCGGAGGGCGAGGGCTGCGCCGTGCGGTGGCTGTGCTACTCGGCGCTGCTGTGCGAGTCCAACCCGCCGGCGAGGGCGGCGGCAGGCTATCGGCACAGCCTCTTCATCGACGGCGAGGGGCGGCTCTCGTCGTGCGGAACGGCTGAGAGCTGGATGCCGGGATTGCTCGGCCACGGTGAGGGCGTGACGCGGCTGAACACGCCGACACGCCTCCCCTCTCCGCTGGGCGGCGAGCGCGCCGTGAGCGTGTCGGCTGGAGATTTCCACAGCCTCGCCCTCACCGGCAGCGGCAGTGTCTGGAGCTGGGGCTATGGAGGCTGGGGCCGGCTGGGCCACGGCGACGAGCAGGCCCAGTGGCAGCCCAAGAAGGTCGAGGCCTTCGCTGGCCAGCGCGTCGTCGCTGTGTCGGCTGGAGGCAACCACAACCTCGCCCTCACCACCAACGGCAGTGTCTGGAGCTGGGGCCAGGGATTCTTTGGCGACCACCAGCTGCTGCCGAAGAAGATCGAGGCCTTTGCGGGCCGGCGCGTGGTCGCTGTGTCGGCTGCAGGCGGGCACAGCCTCGTCCTCACCGCCGACGGAGAGGTCTGGAGCTGGGGCGGGGGAGGCGACGGCCAGCTGGGCCACGGCGACCAGCAGCACCAGCTGCTGCCGAAGCAGATCGAGGCGTTGGCTGGCCAGCGCGTCGTCGCTGTGTCGGCTGGAGCCTCGCACAGCCTCGCCATCACCGCCGACGGCGCCGTCTGGAGCTGGGGCTTTGGAGGCCGCGGCCAGTTGGGCCACGGCGACGGGCAGGCCCAGTCGCTGCCGAAGAAGATCGAGGCCTTTGCTGACCAGCGCGTCTTCGCTGTCTCGGCTGGATTGTACCACAGCATGGCCATCACCGCCGACGGCGCTCTCTGGAACTGGGGCGATGGAGGTGGGGGCAAGCTGGGCCACGGCGACGAGCAGCGCCAGCTGCTGCCCAAGAAGGTCGAGGCCTTCGCTGACCAGCACGTCGTCGCCGTGTCGGCTGGAATCGATCACAGCATCGCCCTGACCGCCGACAGCCCCGTCTGGAGCTGGGGCAATGGACGCTCAGGCCGGCTGGGCCACGGAGAGGACCTGTCGAACCAGCTGCTGCCCAAGAAGCTCGAGCCAAGAAGATGATCGTATATCGAGGGTTCGGGGCGGGGCGGTGAGAAGGAAGTCATGAGAAGTGCGCGAGCCGCTCTGCCTCTCCGCTCTCAGGCTCTCGGCTGCCGTCGTGGCGGTGCGGGGGCCGTAGACACTGTTGTCTGTTCTCAGTGTGCGTTCTGACGGGGCCCGGATTGCGCCTTGCGCCGCCGCGGCCCGCGCCCCACGCCCGCGCACAATTTAGAGGGACGTGACTTTGGTGAGAGCTGAGCTCTTATTTGCGCTCTCGCGGTTGCCCGAATTCGCGATGTTTCCGGTTCGAAACTCGATGTCAGTCGTACGGCTCTCTCTATACTCTCGAACGCCGTCTCACGATCTCACGCGCCGGTTCCACGCCGCCTCGCCCACGCCGGGCCCGACGCTCCGCAACTCTGCTCACATGCCTGGCCCTCCCTCCGGCGGCATCGGCAGCCCAATCTCGGCGTAGAGCGCGCCCAGCTTCTGCTTGGAGTACTCCATCGAGTTTTTGTGCGCCTCGCGCATCGCCAGCGAGATGGCGTCCGACACGGCCTCCGCGCCCTTGCTGCACAAGTCCTCGCTCACCTTGACATCCATGGGCACCTGGACGAGAGGGCGACGGCGATCGGCGCTGCTCCGGCGGCAGGGGCGGAGGCAGCGCGAAGGCGAGGAGCGGGCAGGTGGCAGTGCTGAGCACGAGAGGAGCGGGTCGCGCCTGGGCACCGGAGATGACAACCGTCACGCCGCCGTCGGCGGCGGTCGCCTCGATCTCCGTGTTGACCAGCTCCTCCTGCAGCGCCTTGACCTTCACTCCCACCTCCTGCGCCTTCTTGATGGTCTCCATCATGTTGCCCATGCCGCCGCCGCCGCCGCCACCCTCTTTGCTCGCGCCGCCGCCGCCAAAGAGCATGCGCGGCGCGGCCACGGCGCGCGGGCTGTGCGCCGAGAGCACGTCGGGCCTCGGCACGGCCACGAAACTCTGCGAGGCTGGCAGAAGCAGGCTGCAGATGGCGGAGATCATTGGAGCCCCAGCGTCGATCGTGCCGGATGAGAAAAAAGAAAGAGTCGCGTCCCTTAAGGATAAACAAACGCGCAGTAAAAAAATTTGACCCGCGAGGCCTTTGTACTCATCTTTACGTGCGTCCCGAAACGTCATGCCCTCCGCGCGCAAGCGGCGCCGCGAGGCTGCTCCCGTGGCGGAGGTGGAGGGCGTGCGCTTGCACCTCTCGAGTAGGAGCAGCAGCGGCTACAAAGGCGTCTTCAAGCACGGCTCTGGCCGCTTCCAGGTGCAGCGGCGCGACAAGGATGGAAGGCAGCTCTACCTCGGACTCTTTGATACGGTGGTGGAGGCGGCGGTGGCGTATGCGCGGGCCGTTGGCCGTCCGCGGGCCGTTGGCTCGCCGTGCGCCGTCGAGCAGCCGGCCGCCGGGCAGCCGGAAGACCCTGCGGCGCACAGAGCCCTCGTGTTGCCCCCCGGTTGGAGCAAGATCACCGACTTCGGCAAAGTGAAAGGCTACCGGGGCCCGGCTGGCGAGCGGGTCGCGTCGATAAAGGAGGCGTGGCGCCAGCTAGAGGCACGGGATCGCGCGGAGGAGGAAGGCTCAGACTCGGATTCGGACTCACACTCGGACGAGGAGGGAGACGAGGCCGAGGCCGAGGAGGCGGCGGAGGACCATGAGGGGGGTCCAGTCAGGCAGGCAGAGGGCTTGTGTTTGCACCTCTCCAGCAGCAGCAGCACCGGGTACAAGGGCGTGTGCCAGGTCTCTGGCCGCTTCAAGGCGCAGCGGCGCGCCAAGGACGGAAGGCTGGTCTATCTCGGCTACTTTGACACGGCGGTGGAGGCGGCGGTGGCGTATGCGCGGGTGGGAGGTGAGGCGGAGGCGGATGAGGTGGCGGAGGCGGAGGTGGGCGGGGAGGAGGAGGGACCAGGGACACCTCCCGGGACACCTCCGCCGGACGAGGACTCGTCACGACCGCGGCTGGCGGTCTTGCCTTTGTCACGAGCGGTCGGAGCCCACCAGCCTCAAGATCCTCTGGCGGAGGCGACAGAGGCTCTTGTTCCGGTGGTGGAGGCGGCCGAGGACGGGGAAGCGGAGGAGCAGGAGCAGAGCGAGGGCGAGTTCGACCTGCTCGGTTGCGTCAACTCCCTCAAGCGCAAGTTTCCTGCCGCAAAGGCCCTCCCAATCAAACCCGCCATCGAGTGGATGGAGCGCGAGGTTTACGGCGAGGTCGACGCTGGCGGCCTCTGCAAGCGAGCGATCGCGCTGTCGCGCGAACTCTGAACCGTGAAAAATAGCTTAAGGTTAAGCTGTGTGAGCTGCGTGCTGTGGAGCTGCGTCGGTCAGGTAGTCGCGGTTTACCAGTCCACGCATGACGGCCTTTATTATTCGTGCCGAGTCGTGCTCTGCGCTCTGCACACAGCACACTGCACACGCACTGCACTGCCTAGACTGGCTGCGCGCCGGTGGTCTAGTCGGGTTTACCAACCGACGGGCTTTTTTATTGAGAACTGTGTTGCCCGAATTAAAAACGAGGACAGATCAAATTCACATAATAGAGTACACAGACCTGCGACGGCCTTAACCCCCACCACTTAGGTACTCGACATCCAGCTCTAGCCACGCGTTCCACAGGGAAGGGTGGCCCGCGACCGCGTCTCTCAGCTGGGTGTCGATCTCTTTGTGTATGAGCCGCCCGGCCGCGTCGCGCTCCGCCATCCGCCTCCTCAGCACGTCGAGGCCGCGAGAAGGGAAGCCGCACCCCTTGCCGCGGCTCATCTGCCGGAAGAAGCCGCCCACGGAGGCGCCATCCACGCCGTCGACGAAACCCGCATTGAACAGCCCGTCCTCCTCCTCGTCCCAGCCGGGCGGCGGCGTCGCGTCCACGTCCGGCACCAGCGCGGCCGTGCGCAAGAAACCGGCGCGGCGCAGCGCGGCTGTCATGCGAGCGAGCGGTTCGGCGGCGGCGCCGCCGCCGGCGCTCAGCCCGTCCAGCAGCGGGATGGCCTACACAAGAGGGTTTGGAGAGACGGCTCAGAGAGGGCTCAGAGACGTGCAGCCCATCCAGTAGCTCGGATGGCCAGCGCGGCAGCGGCCAGCTCCCACAGGTAAGCGCTGCCGCCGACGAGCTCCGCAGCGCGGGTGAGGTGCGCCTACGGGACGGTTCTGAGAAGGCTCCGAGACGGCTCCGAGACGGTTCCGAGAAGGTTGCGCGGCCTCTTCTCGCACCCAAGCGGCCGGCTCGTCAGCCGCCCTGCTGCAGAACCAGAGCAGCGCGGCGGAGGAGGCATCGGCGGCCAGCGCCGGAGGGCACAGCCGCGCGAGGCCGCCTTCGAGGACGGCCTGCCTTCCCTCGGGTGCGTCGTTGCCGACCTGCGGGCCTTGCCAGAGCTCGAGCACGATGATGTGCCGCTCGCCCGGCGCCACGGGCGTCGAGCGGTGAGCGTCCCAAGACCGGAAGATCAGCACGTCGCCAGGCTGCATCCCCTCCGCTCGCCGCGGATGGCCGCCGCGGTCGACCTCCGTCTCGCCGCCCTGGAGATCGTGCGAGAGAGCGAGCGTGAGCACCGCAGTCAGAACAGAGTACTCATCCTGGTGCCAGCCCTCGTCGCCGTCCTCGTGCCCTTCGTCATCCGCGGACGAGTATCGGACGGACTCGATGCAGCGCACCTGGAGCGGACCCAGGCCTGCCAGCGCCCACCCAGCGGCCTCCTGCGCCGACATCACAGCTTCGACAAGACGATCCACAACCCCGCCCGCAAAGCCGCGATGTCGATGCAGCCATGTGACCGACTGCCTCGATGGGCTGCCGGTGATCTGTCGCGTGCGATTCACGAGGCTGTGCTCGACGAGGAAGCGGTCCTTCCAGGCCTGCCGCTCGGCGCGGAGCAGCATCTCCTGCTCCCACCAAGCGACTGCGTCTCGCAGCAGGAGCATGCCGTCCAAGGCCGTGACGGTCTCGGCTCCGCTCGCAGACACGCTCACAAGCCTCACGTCGTTGCGAGGGTAGGGCGAGGAGGCGAGGGCGAGGAGGAGGGCAAAGGACATATCGATGTCGGCACAACACACCCAGTACTCGAGTATGTGTAGCGAGCCGTGCTCGAGGCGGTCTATCTACGCGATGGAGAAGCTGCCCGACTCGCGCCTGCGCGAGCGCCTCGCCACCTACCTCAGCTTGTCGGCGACAGATCCAGGCGGGCCCCGCCGCACGCTAGCTAGGCGCAACATGAAGGGCGACAAAAAAGAAATCGATGCTTCCCCAGACACTCACCCGCCAGCCCTATGTGCTGAATCGACTTATTATTACACAAGGGCAATGCTGCCGATCCGCCCCGCCCCCATTGGCGCAACCGTCTCCCACGCGTTCAGCGCCGGATCGTACCGCTTGACTGAGCTGAGGCGGCCGTCAGCAGAGTCGCCGCCCACAGCATACAGCTTGAAATCACCACGTCGCTCGCGACACGTGTCGCCGATACCTCACGGGAGTCGAGAGTCCATCTCATTCGAGACGACTCGTAGACGGCTTAGTTCACTCTGCGCTGGCGTTGCGCGCCTCGACCTTCTTGGGCAGCAGCTGGTTCGACGGGTCCTCTCCGTGGCCTAGGCAGCCGTCGTCGCCCTTGCCCCACGTGAAGACAGCGCCATCGGCGGTGATGGCGAGGCTGTGGTCCTCTCCCGCCAGCACGGCGACGACGCGCTGCCCAGCAAAGGCCTCGACCTTCTTCGGCAGCAGCTGGTGCTGCTGGTCGCCGTGGCCCAGCCGGCCACAGCCTCCCAAGCCCCAGCTCCAGACGGCGCCGTCGGCGGTGGTGGCGAGGCTGTGGTATCCTCCAGCCGACAGAGCAACGACACACTGGTCAAAGGCGTCGACCTTCTTGGGCAGCAGCTGGTTCTGCTGGCCGCCGTGGCCCAGCTTGCCAAAGGCTCCCGAGCCCCAGCTCCAGATGGCGCCGTCGGCGGAGAGGGCGAGGCTGTGGATGTTACCAGCCGACACGGCGACGATTCGCTGGCCAGCCAAAGCCTCGACTTTCGTCGGCAGCTGCTGGCTCTGCTCGTCGCTGTGGCCCAGCTCGCCTGAGTTTCCACCGCCCCAGCTCCAGACGGCGCCGTCGGCGGTGAGCGCGAGGCTGTGCGCCCACCCAGCCGACACGGCGACGACGCGCTGGTCAGCCAAGGCCTCGATCTTCTTGGGCAGCATCTGGCTCTGCTGGTCGCCGTGGCCCAGCGTGCCGCAGTCTCCATCGCCCCAGCTCCAGACGCTGCCGTCAGCGGTGATGGCGAGGCTGTGGTCGCCTCCAGCCGACACAGCAACCACGCGCCGGTTAGCAAAGGCCTCGACGTTCTTGGGCAGCAGCTGGTTCTGCACGTCGCCGTGGCCCAGCTGGCCATAGGCTCCCTGGCCCCAGCTCCAGACACTGCTGTCGGCGGTGAGGGCGAGGCTGTGCATATCTCCAGCCGACACAGCGACGACGCGCTCGCCGCCCAGCGGGGAAGGGAGGCGTGTCGGCGTGTTGAGCCGCGTCACGCCCTCGCCGTGCCCGAGCAGTCCTGGCGTCCAGCTCGGAGCCCTGCCGCACGACGAGAGCCGCCCCTCGCCGTCGATGAAGACGCTGAGCGTGTCTCCTGCCGCCACCCTCGCCGGCGGGTTGGACTCGCGCAGCAACGCCGAGTAGCACAGCCACCGCACGGCGCAGCTCTCGCCCTCTGGCTGCGCCGGCAGCTCGAAGCCGGCCTCTTGCAGGCGCAAGCGGATGCCTTCCAGCGCGAGCGAGGCGTGGAAGAGCAGCGAGACGGCCGCGACGCGAGCGATGTCGGCGGGGTCGCAGCGGGAGATGACGCGCGCGAGAAGCTCAAGGGGCAGGTCGGTGAGGACGCAGTGTGCGGCGGCGGCGGCGGCGGCGAGTCGGCGCGAATGGCGCTGCGGGGCTGACATCTCGACATCGCAAGAAAAAAAAGGAGCAGCATCGTACCCTCGAGGTCTCGAGATACACAAAGCGGCCAATCCAGCGCCCGTCGGTGTACACTACCTTCTCCTCCGTCGTAGCGCAACGTCGCGTCGAGGCAGCTCCCTCCACTGTTGCGTCAAGCGCAGCGGCATGCGTGCTGCATGGCTGAGGCGTCAGTCAAAACAGCTCGCCAGCCAGTCATCCCAACGCAGTCTGACTCGAGCAGCCGCTCGAGCTCACGACGTGGATGCCATGGTGTCTGCAGCCGATTCGCTGCTTGCGCGCGCGCGGTTCGACTCGGTGGCCAACATCGATCAGCGTGCGAGCGCGTTTGCCGCATCGGGTGCACCCCTCGACTTGTACGGCATCTACGGGGAGATGGGCTTGAGGGCTATCGCCGACGTCCTTCTGCTGCCATCGGTACGTGAGCGCACGGGCCCCACGCGGCGCTTTGTCGATTTCGGGTCCGGCTCCGGCCGGCTAATCCTGGGCGTCGCTGCAATGGCGGAGTGGGAGGCCTGCACTGGCATCGAGGCGGTGACGGGCCTGCATGCTATCGCGTGCGAGTGCATCGACAGTGCCGAGGCCAATGAGGCCATCCCTCCAGGGCTCGTGACGTCCGTGCTGGCGGATGGGCTGCCGCACGTCGACTCGCCTGCGGTGATGGCAGCAGCCGATGTCTGCTTCATGTACAGCACGGCGTTCCCGACCGCGGACGACGGGCTTCGACTGCCGGAAATGAGCGCGTCGCTGGCAACCGTGATGAAGGAGGGCAGTCTCGTCGTCACCACAGACACGCTCCTCGTCGGCCGCCGCTTCGCCTTCGACACACTCAAGCCTGTGAAGGGCGAAGATGGCGACCGGCTCAACTGCTTCGTGTGGCGCGTCACTGGGGCGCCGGCGCCATCGTACAACGACGCCTACGCCGAGGTGCAGGCGCATTGGCTGGGAGACGACGCGCTGGCCGAGAACGACGCACTCTGCGAGGCGCTGGAGGCGGCGGCGTTTGCCGAGGTGGAAGAATTACAGTGAGCGGCGTAGAGGGTGAGGCGCGACGTGGCAGCCACACGCATAGGTCATGCTCAGATGGACGAGATACCCAGCGAGGGCCCAGACTCGCGAGGTGTGTCGAGGTAGGGTCCTGCGCGGCGCGCTTTGCGCTATGAGCTGTTTTACAGTATCTAGAGACACGTGCACGTGCACGTGCGTGCGTGGACCGCACAAAAAGAAAGAAATTGTCGACTAGCGAGAAAGAAAGAAAACACCTCGCTAGGAATGGGAGGACGACCGGCGAAACGCGACAGAGGAGGAAATGACAAGAGGGAGAGAACGACGAGAGTGGGACGACCGCGAGGTGGCATGAAGGCTGCAGCGAGAAGCGGCGAGAGACTGCGAAAAGAGATACGAAGAGGCAGACTCCCCAGGGTGGGCGACGGCTAGCGCATCACACTCCTCTCCTTAAAATCCCTGTGTGGTGGCGGCGTGCCGTTCTCCCATCCCTCCCTTGCGTTGTCTGTTTTCTTTCTTTCTTTCTTTTGACCGGCGAAACGCGAACGGAAAAAATCTTTTTACTCGATCTTTCTTTTTTCGTGTGCCGGTGATAGTACTAGCACGCGCCAGTTCGCACCTGTGTCGAGCCTGTGTGCTGTGAGAGGGAGTTGTCTTCTTTAAATTCTTTTTTCAGAAAGAAAGAAAGAAAACACACAACCCAAGGGAGGGATGGGAGAACGGCACGCCGCCCCCACACAGGGATTTTAAGGAGAGGAGTGTGGTGCGCTTTTTTCACGCACGATCTTGATGGCGTGGCTGTTTTCTTTCTTTCTTCAGGGATGGGAGGACGGCACGCCGCCACCACACAGGGATTTTAAGAAGAGGGGTGTGGTGCGCTATCCGTGGCTCACTGCCGGTAGCGATTTGTTTTTTCATTTTTTCACGCGCGATCTTGCCCGGGTGATGGTGATGGTGGTGATGACTCTCACTGCCGCTGTGGCCTTCCTCTCCACCTCCTACACCCCAAGCGCAGGGCCAACCCTGAGTCTGCGCCTTCCGGCGCTGCGTCGAGCGGCGGTGACGAGCTCGCAGCCGCCGATGTCGTACGAAGAGTACCAGAGGCGGCGCGAGGCGGGAGCCGCGCCTGCCGCTGGCGCGGCGCCTCCTCCTCCTCCGCCACCGCCTCCCCCACCGCCTCCGCCACCGCCTCCCCCACCACTCTGGAGACCATCGGGCTGGCCTCCTCCTCCGCCTCGTCCGCCGCCGCCCTCTGTGACGGGCATGCCGCCGCCGATGCCGCTCCCGCCGGTCCGTGACATCGGCGACGTGCTAGCTCGCTTCGAACGTGTCGCACCTACGCCTCTTCCTCCGCCGTCCCTGGGCATGCCGCCGCCGCCGCTGATGCCGCTTCCGCCCGTCCGCGACGTCGGAGACGTCCTGGCACGCGTTGCTGGCGTCGGACGTGCGCCGTCTATTTCACCTCCTCCGCCGCCGCCCGTGAGCATGCCGCCACCGCCGGAACGGTTTGCGCCTGCGCCGCCTCCTTCGCGCCTTCCGCCGCCGCCCATGGCGTCGGGCATGCCGCTCCCGCCCGTCCGCGACTTTGGAGACGTCCTGGCTCGCGTTGTCGGCGTCGCACCCGCACCGCCGCCTCGTCCGCCGCCGCCGCCCTCTGTGACGGGCATGCCTCCGCCGATGCCGCTGCCGCCGGTCCGTGACCTCGGGGACGTGCTGGCACGCGTGGAACGCGTCGGCGGCGACGGCCTTTCGCAGCCGCAAGGCGGTGGCGGTGGCGAGGCGGCGTCAGCTTGGGCCGACGCCGCGGGCCAGACACTGAGCGCGCTGAGCGAGCGGCTTCCAGCGGCCGGCTGGCGCGGCGAGTCGCTCGGCGGCGGTGAGGGGGTCGCGAGCGGGCTGGAGGAGGCGGTGGAGGGGGCGGTGGAGGAGGCGGCCGGCGTGGCGGGGCGGGCGGGGGAGTGGCTCGGCCGTGCGGCAGCAGAGGTTCGGTCGGCGATCGAGGGAGGCGCGTGGGAGGCGGGCTCTTCCCCGGCCGAGGAGCAGCCGGCCGGGCCGGAGAGGGCGATGGCGATCGTGTCGGAGCTCAAGGCGAGCGCGGCGCTCTTCGCCGCCTTCGCCTTTGGCGCCCTCAACCTTCCAGGCACCCTGATGATCTCCCCATATCTCCCCATATCTCCCCATATCTCCCTCAACCTGCCAGGCACCCTGATGATCTCCCCATATCTCCCCATATCTCCCTCAACCTTCCAGGCACCCTGATGATCTCCGAGTCGCGCGTCACCTCCGCCACCTCCTCCGTCTCCACTTCCCGCCCTGTGCCAGACTCCGACCTGCTGCAGGTGCAATCTCGGGCAATCTCGGGGAATCTCGGGGAATATCGAGGATCTCGACAGACTCCGACCTGCTGCAGGCCTTCGTCGTGCTCGACGCCGCCACCTTCGGCTTCATGCTCATCTGCGTCGTCGTCTCGCAGCAGCTCCTCTACAAGCTGGGCGACGGGAGCTACGGCGCCACGAGGCACGGCACGGACGAGCAGCCGGACGCGCGCGACTCCGCTCTCGGCCGGCTCACCACGCAGTACGGCTCCGAGTTCCGCACGGCGAGAGTCGCGTTCGGCCTCGGCGCTCTCCCCCCCCCCCCCCCCTCCCCTCCCTCCCTCCCGCCCCGCCCCGCCCCCCCCCTCCCCTCCCCTCCCTCCCTCCCGCCCCGCCCCGCCCCACCCCGCCCCCCCCCTCCCCTCCCCTCCCTCCCTCCCGCCCCGCCCCGCCCCACCCCGCCCCGCCCCGCCCCGCCCCGCCCCGCCCCGCCCCGCCCCGCCCCGCCCCCTCGCCTCCTTCGCACCGGCAAATGACCGAGCGCTACTCCGCCGGCCACAGGCCTGATCGCCATCCTCCTCGCCACCGTGGTCAAGACGCACGCCGCCTCGGCTACTCCTCTCGCAGTTGTGAGACGCGTCTCTCCACACGCGCCTGCCGCGAGCAGGTGGGCCGTCTTCGACTCCTCCATCGCCCTGCCCGTCACCGGTGTCCTCTCCCTCTCCTCGGCGCTGATGGCCATCTCGTACGCAAGCGTCAACGGCACCGCAACCCCCCCTCCCCCCCTCGCCACAGCCC